CCAGTTTCAACCTACATTAAGCATGATGTTGAAGGAGATGAAGAGTCCACCGAAGGATCTGTTTTGCTCTCAGCAAGTAACTTTGATAAATACGCTCATCAGTGAGTGGGGCAAATCTGAATCTCAAAATTAACCCCCCTGCCCCACTGGGTTCCCCCCCCCCTTCCAATTGCTAATTGCAGGTTACATATCTAAATAATGTCTTTGCAGGTATCCAATTTTGGTTGTAAATTTTTATGCTCCTTGGTGCTACTGGAGCCAACGTTTGGTAATCATCTGATAGTAATATTTTTTATGGATGATGGTTTTGTTGATAGCTATTTAGTTTGTTATGAATTTGTTCTTGTCTCTCTTCTCAGAAACCCTCATGGGAGAAGGCTGCTAAGATAATAAGAGAAAGGTACTGTATTATTGATCCATTTTTCCTATCATTTCTTTGAAATTACATTTTAGAAGGTTTATTTCGTCCTCCCCTTATTTGGAATTGCTTGAGATGTCTTATTTTCACTTGCTAATCCGGTACCCAACATGATCCAACATGAATGATTACATTTGCATAGATATGACCCAGAAATGGATGGGCGTATTCTTTTGGGGAAGGTTGACTGCACTCAAGAAGGTGACTTGTGTAGGAGGTACTACTAAATTTGTAAACTTTTCTAGTTAGATTTTATAGTTATTTTTTTCTGTGTGGATTTAATTCTTGCCACTGATTTTCTTAAGTCCTTTCCTACTTTATCTCCTTTCAATTATCAATTATCAATTATTAACAGAAATCTAAATTTCTTCATTCTTTATGTCATTGGTCGTTGAAACTGAGACAGTGTAACACGGTTTACCATGAGCATAAGTATTGAGATGGCTGTTAATGTAATCAATAACACTAATTGCGTAGTGCAAGCTTACACTTTGTTTGGTGGAAAAGGGGGGAAGGAAGAAAGATATGTGAAAGAAAAATGGGTGATAATTGCCTTATTACTGGGTTTAAGTTTCCAAAATAGAAACTTGGAAGAAAAGTACATGTTGGTCCATTATTGTGGTTACCCCCAAAGTTGTGAAGGACCTAAAAACTTACGTGTGTGGGTGGTATATTGTTCTTCAGGTTAATTTGTCATCTTTTGTTTTAGTTTGCTAATTTCTCTGCCCTCTTGTTATTTTCAACTGTGCTTCTATTGACATTTATTGTATATCATTATGAATGTCCAGGAATCACATACAAGGGTATCCCTCTATTCGCATCTTTCGTAAAGGAACTGATGTTAGGTAATAATATCATCTTGCTGTATTATCATTGCTTTTCCCCCTGTCACATTTCTGTAGCATGTTTTTCCACACATGCTCACGATAACATACACATGACTTTCAATTTTGTTCAAAAAAAAAAAAAATGCACATGACTTTCAATTACGTGACTTTTTTTGGCTTTAAGTTCACCAATCATTCACATATATGCATAATAACATACATATTGATGCCTTATAATGCATAGTTCTATTGTTCTATCCTTAAGGATGATACTTCTTTCATCTTTCTTTTGCTCTGGAATGCGTAACAGTAAACCTGTCCATGTGCTATTCTCCCCGGCCATTTGGGTATTTTGTGCTTATTCAATCACTTAATTATATTACGTTTTCCTTATGATATTTTTTATCAAAAAACCAGTGGAAAAGGAACCAAATTGCATTTTGGAATGCGATTAGTGAATAGTTATGAAGGGCAAACAAAAAAATCAATAGTAATGGGGCATAAAGATGTAAGTGATGGTTAGAAAGAGTTGAAAAGGAATTGACCATTGTGTCATAAAATTGTATGTTGCCCTTGAAAGCTTCATTTTAGAACTTGAAATTTTTTGTGGATGGCACATGTGGTGGGACTTAAAGATGACTTTACCAGCTATTGGGATTTTATCTCCTTAAACTACTCCATTTATCAATTACAGGTAGAGAATGTCACTTTTTTTTTTTTTGGTGGTCCATTATGTTTATAGGTTTTTAAGGAAAAAAAACTTATATACTTAGCCTTACATACTTAAAATGCTTGTTTCCAATTAAATCAAGACATGTGGATTTTTTAGATTATTTATTCTATGACAAACTCTTGTTATTAATATTATTAATAGATTAAAATCTACATGGCTTGATTTAATTGGAAAAAAGTATATATAAGGCTAAGTACCCAACGCTTCTCCTTTCAGCAATTACTTCATGATCAATTGACATATTGTTTGCTTTTCTCTTTGTGCATCATGGATACTGTCTCCTTAATCTGCATTTTTTTTAATAAACTTTGGATTTTCTTAATAAATCTTACTTTTTGTATTTGTATGATTCTCAGAAATGACCATGGACATCATGACCATGAGTCATATTATGGAGATCGAGATACAGACAGCTTGGTCAAGGTACATTGCTACATGCTGTGTTAACTTTGAATTAGTGAAATCCCAATCATGTTTAACCTCAAAATTAAACTACCCGATTGTAATTATTAAACATCTATGCTTACCTTCAAAAGAATGAAATATGAAATGAAGTGAAGTTTCTTCACTGCAGACGATGGAAAATTTAGTGGCATCTTTGCCAAATGAATCTCGGAAGCTGGCTTTGGAGGATAAATCCAATGCAACTAGAGAGCATGCAAAAAGACCAGCACCATCATCAGGGGGATGCAGGATTGAAGGATATGTGCGTGTGAAGAAGGTAAACTGTAGACATTTTGCTCTTCTGAAAAGAAAGGCTCCTTTGTTGCTTCTTATAATTCAAATGCAGTCATAGATATATAGATGCCCTACATTTTTTCACTGGAAGAAGCCGATAGCTTATATTCCTAGCTTTTTTATCTGGATATTTCTTTTGCTTGTAAGTTGTAATTGATCCTTCAGCTGTTAATATTAGTCACAGAAAATGGAAGAGATGGGGAATCTGACCTATTTATGATGACTGAAAATTAAATATAAGCTGTTTTTCTGTCTGCAGGTTCCAGGAAATTTAATCATTTCAGCTCGATCTGATGCCCATTCTTTTGATGCTTCTCAAATGAACATGTCCCATGTCATACACCACTTGTCTTTTGGAAGAAGAATCTCACCTAGAGTTATGAAGGATGTAAAACGCTTAATACCTCTTATTGGTATTAGCCATGACAGGCTGAATGGCCGAACCTTCATCAATAATCGCGATTTAGGAGCAAATGTTACTGTAAGTTTAACTTCCCTATTAACACTTTTAATATAATATCAATTTTGCTATTGGAGTCTCGGTATGGCTTCCTCATGTTTCACTGTTTTATAGAGCACGATACAATATAGATTGCACGGATGTCTTGGAGGGCTACAAAACTTGCTAAGTCTAGAGTCTATATAACACTGTAATTGTCCTATAAATCTGGATTTGCGGTTGTTCTCTTTTCTCTGGCAAAATTTTGGCCATTCACTCTGCTTGAAATTTATTGAATAAACAACGCTCTGAAATTTAACTTGATAGTATACTATGATAACTTTTACAAATTTATCCTTTGTTTAGATGATCACTCTATTGCTTTAAATATTGAAATCCCATGAAGGGAGCAATCTATGTTTATTTTTCCTCCAAAATCATGCAAATAGGAAAAATTCAAAAAACATGAAAGTTGATCAGATTTGATTCGAAGAGTTAGTTGAAAACTCCTTTCTCCTCTCCTTATAAGAACCTCCCAAAATTTGGGAAGGTTTCAATGAAATGATTTCTTCCCCTTCATCTATCTCCCTTAACCTCCATCCAATCTTGCCGCAAGAGCCTCCCCAAATCTTCAAATGCATTCCTTACTCTCTTCAAGAAGCGTCAACTTGTTCATCCTAAATTTGTTTGGATGTTGGTTTTGCACGCACCCTTAATCTCTGTTTAATGGGCCCAAGAACTTATTGAATGATTCAGAAACTCACTTCTCAGGTACATTTCTTTCATTGAAATAACACATTCCAGTTTTGAAGCCAGCTGTAATCTTTTGTTGATCCGGATTTGGTTCTCTATTTCCTTCTGTGTGGATTTGATTATTACGTAGTGCAGAAACTGTGGAATCTCTTGTACCTGGATATTTTGTCAAATAACCACGTTACAAGCTGTGAGATCTGTGTCTGCAGATTGAGCATTATCTTCAGATTGTTAAAACAGAGGTGATAACTAGGAAGGATTATAAAATAATTGAGGAGTATGAGTATACAGCGCACAGCAGTCTTGCTCAGAGTTTACATATTCCCGTTGTTAAGTTCCACCTTGAGCTTTCTCCCATGCAGGTATGTGAATGGCATCTGAATAATTTCATCTCTTAATTTCCAGTTAATTTCTTCCTTTACGCAGCATGCTCTCTTCTTTTATATTTACTTCTTATTATCTTTACCAGGTCTTGATAACAGAAAATCAGAAGTCTTTTTCACACTTCATTACGAATGTCTGTGCTATTATTGGGGGTGTTTTCACGGTTAGTATGTCAGATTATGTTTCCATGCCATGTATTAATTGTACTCTAACTATTGTTGATTGTTGACTAGTGTTCTCTATGGTTCCAGGTAGCTGGAATTCTGGACTCGATTCTGCACAACACTTTTAGAATAATGAAAAAAGTTGAGATTGGGAAAAATTTTTGATATATTGGCGAGAAATTTGTCTAGCATAGAACATAGGACTTCTGATTTTGCTACACCCAACTTCCCTAGAAATGTCTTTTATAGCAGTTTGTTTTCTTTATAAATAAAAGCTTTAAAATGTAATTTTCCAGTGATTGCCCAAGAGTTAAATTGCAAGCTCTATTATGCATTCAGTATCTCCTGCCCCTAAATCCTTGTTCATGTTTTAATGGTTGAGGAAGGCAAGCAGATATGGCATGAGATAGATATGGTAATTAAGATTTATGGCAATGTGTTTCGGCCTTTTATTTTATTTCTAGTCATCTTCATTACCTTTTTTCATGATTCATAACCTCCTTTTGATTCCAATGATCTAAGGCAGTGCGTTAAGTTAATAAAATGATACCCACAAAAAGCTGGTATTATTTCATTGCAACATTTACAGTGTTCTTGCATCAAATGAAGAATGAGAAGCACACAAAAGGGTACATACATTATTGTCCTCTTATGTATCAAATATCGTCACAAGTAAATGTCCCAGAGGGCATTACGGAACTCACGGCATAGAACACCATGACAAGCAAGAAAAAAGGAGACAGAAGAAAATCATACTCAGTCCGTCATATTTATAATCTTATACTTAGAAAGATAAAATCAGAGTTGAAACGACGAATGCTCCAGCAGTTCCAGCAAAGGTGCAAAAGATTGAAGAAGCACCGTTGGCATGAGATGGAGGCCCACTAACGGGAGCAGGCGTGGGGGTTGTCCCAGTGGTCGGTGATGGTGCTGGAGGAGATGAAGCTGTGGACGGTGGTGGGGACGGAGGTGAGGCAGCGGAAGAAGGCGGTGGTGATGGAGGATAAGTGGCAGAAGAAGGTGGTGTTGATGGAGCCGAGGTTGATGAAGAAGCTAAAGGAGAAGGAGCAGGTGTGGGTGCTTGTTGGGTGTTGTTACTGCTCCTATTAGCCAACACAACTATGACAAGCTTCTCATTCTTGAGGCAATTATCTCTATTTCCACTGATGAAGAAGTGATGGCCAGAGTGATTGAACTTGTACACTGTGTGGCCGTCCGTGTACTTCGCAATTGGCGCATCGGTGTTGCAATTGCTGTAGTCTTCACTCTTCACTTCCAGCACCGAGTCTTGCCCAGAATTGTAGTTGAACACTGCGTTTATATTATCATCAAAACAAATGAAGATTATGAGAACGAATACACACTCACAGAACAAGACATTAAGATATTCAGGACTCATCACCTAAGGAGTCGCCTATCTGAAAACGGCTCTTTTCAGCCCAAGTATTGTAAGGGTTGAAATTTGGGTCGCTTGGAACAGTCCAACCCTTTTGTCCGCCAACTATGAACTCATACGCACCACTCTTCTCCACCAACAACACCAAACACAACACTGCCAACACTCCATGAACTGCTTCGTAACTCTTACCCATCCTCTGAGAAGGCAAAACTGAGAAGGAAGCAAAAAATGGTTGAAGCTAGTTGGGGATGATGATGTGATGATGAGGACCGTCCATGCATGGCAAGGGGATTTAATAAGTAGGTGTCAGAGGAACAGTGAGGAGGAAGCTGTTTTTGCAACTTTTTCTTATTCCCTTCCTCTCCCTGAGGTTTTCTTTGATTCCAGTGCAAAGCATAAGGTTCACTTTTATATTTTTTGTTTAAGTCTCTTTTGAATCTTTGGTTGCTTTTACATATATATATATATATATATATGTACGTATGTAACTTGGCCTGTGGGTTTATGCTTTGCTTCAGTGTCACCAGAATGTTCATGTCTTGTGCTTTGGGGTTTCCAATACCTGATCTTGCATGCCCTCACTGTTTCATTGCTCAAAACTCTTTATCATCATTATTAACATATATAGTTTTGATCTCCTGTAAAAATGATCATCAATTATTAAATGCTAATGCTATATACACAAGATTTCTAGGAAAAAATTGCTCACGATACATCATATATTTACTTTTTTTTTTTTTCTAACTATAGTTTGGCCAATCCCTCTCAACTTAACTGGCGCCAAATTAGGTTGCTCTTGCCGCTATTTTTTTTGTTAAGCCTTAAACATCAATTAATACCAATAAACTAATATATTAAACTATTTTCAGACTTCGTGAAAGATATATAGTCTCCTAGGCTCCTAGTTTTTACTTATTTCTCAAAAAAGAAAAAATGAAAAATAATCATGCCAAGCTAATTAATTTTACTCCAGCGAAAAGGTTGGCTAACAAAAACCAACCCTGCGTAGGTCATGCCTTAACTTCAATTTTTTTTGACCATCCAAACAAAACACCCAGAATGCACAAGTCTATTTATGCACTTTACTTTCTCTCTTTTGGGTAATTTATACGTATCTTTATTTCTACATGTAAATGTATTTAACTCACTAAAAAATGAAGCGGAAGAAAGAAGTAAATTTAGAAATAGGAAACTCTAAATTACATATAGATAAAAAAACAAAATTGGAAATTACTAATAGAAAGAGGAAGAAAAAAATTAGCAAATACACGCAGGCCAGTGAATTATGGTCGTGAGGTTGTGAATCATCTATCTCACCCCTTGAACAGGGTATTACTCCTCCCTTTCAAACACTAATGATCATCAAAATGCCATAGATTTTGCATAAAAAAATTAAGGAAAAAAAAAAGAAAACCGAAAAAAAATTGTTCCCTTCGACGTTGTTTCAATTCGAAGCTTGGTCTTGCCTAACACCTATTACCTGGATCCCTTTGAATTCTTCTGTAAAGAGATATTGAACATTTTTTTTTTAAGTTTCTGGGTTTGCTTGATATTGTTGTTTCAAGGGGGTCCAGAGAGATTCTGGCAAGGTTATTTGATTTTTTTTTAATTATTTTTAATAAAACACTGCTTTGGTCTTTTTTTTTTTTTTTGAGAATCATTTTCGTGCTTTGGGATGTGGAGATCAGACAATGGAGAGCCAGCTGATTCTTACTATGAAATCCGGCCTGAGTGCATTGATGATGTCCCCAAGACCAGATTTAAGATCAAGGTTTCATTTCTTCATCTCGGTTTTTTGGTGGGTGGGTGTGTGTGTGTGTTTTAGTTTACAAATTAAATCAAAGAAGGTGAATTATGTTTGATAATTCATTTTATTTTATTTTTTGCATATAGCAATGAATAAGTATCCTGATCTGGATAAATTCTTCCAATGTTGAACACAATGTTTTGGGCTGAAGGAAAACTGATGTTTGCTTCTTAATTATGCATGTGATCTGATCAGTTTGAGATCGAATTAAATAATATAGTCAGCCTTTAAGAAGGTGGGATTCTTTATTTAACAATTGATCGATCATGAATGCTTTAAGAGTCTAACTAGCTTCAAAGTCAAATTAATTCAGATTCAAAGAATTTATATATATAGATCATGTGAATGTTCTGACCACCACTTGAGTCTACAATAACTTGTCATAAACAAAAGCATATACCTTGATCGAGCTAATAAGAAAGTTGAGATTAATTAATTAATTTACATCTATCTTTAACCCTGTAATACTTGGCGATATTAATATTTTGTTTATGTGGTGCAGGCTGGAAAAACACTAAGTGTAAGAAAATGGCAGGCGGCATTTAATCCAGATGGATATCTGGATATAGGCAAGACATTGAGCCGAATCCAACGCGGGGTAATACCATTTATATGATTCAACTACTTCTTCTACACACACACACACACACACACTCACACGTACGTACGTACGTACGAGCATATGAAACTCGGTTTGAGTCATTCTTTCAAAGCTTTCCGATCAAGGGTTTCACAATGTATGCTTCATTTTCTGTGGGTTTTGAAGCGAAAATATGATATCATCTGTTTTCTTCATAGTTAAAATGAAAAAAAAATGCTTTCTTTCTCTGTGGTTCTATGTAATATCCTTACATATAATGAAGACCAGAAAATTAATTAAACTTGAATCAGTCATTTACTATATTTTGCTTTTGAAATTAACCATATCCAGGGAATTCATCCGGCAATCAGGGGAGAAGTTTGGGAATTTCTTCTTGGCTGCTATGACCCAAACAGTTCAACAGAAGAAAGAAATCAGATAAGACAGCGCCGAAGGTAATTAATCAATGAAAAAATTAATTATCTCATTCTTCTAATTTTGAATCGATTATAACTTAGTTCTTAATCTTTAATTAGCTTGGCACAACTGAGATCATGCATATAATATTCACGCAATTGAAACTCAGTCCCCTGAATCTTAACACACATTACAACTCAATCCCAATAAACAATTCAAAAAATTAAAGATTGATCAGTTACATACTTACATCAAGTTAAAGTCTATGGAGACGGGTTTTATCCAAGTGACATATCCTTAAACCTCTCTATATACACAAGGTTTGTTAATTCATGAATGATTACTGTATATATAGGGTGCAATATAATACGTGGAAGGAAGTTTGCCACCAACTGTTTCCTCTTATAGGAAGTGGAAAATTCATAACAGCGCCTGTAATCACTGAAGAAGGGCAACCCATTCAAGATCCTTTAGTTCTGTTAGAAACAAACCCAGGAAACGGTGCCGTTATTCCTCCTCCAGATAATGCAGCTCCTCTTACCTCCGACGCTGCAACTAATTTAGAAAGGGTCACAGACAAGAGAATCATTCAGTGGATGTTAACTCTCCATCAAATAGGTCTCGCTGTAATTTCCTTACATGTATGCATATATTATGATATTACACGTACATGTGTTTGTGTGTGATGACCTTGTTTCTTTTGTCAGGACTCGACGTTCTTCGTACTGATAGAACTTTGGTGTTTTACGAGAAGCAAGAGAACTTGGCAAAACTGTGGGATATTCTCGCCGTTTATGCTTGGGTCGATACTGATGTTGGTTATTGTCAAGGTCAGTATTTATTTGATAATTAATCCATTAATCAGGGCTGATATATAATACATATATTTAAGACTTGAAAATTTTGTTCTATACGTTTACATGAGATCGCTTTCATATCGTATGTCTTGCTCTTGTATATGTAGACAGAAACAAAATGAAGTGAGTTATACACACAGTTCCATATGTATGTAATATGTTACTGATTTGTTTTGAATATATATTAGCACAATATATAGGCAATAATGAAGGAGAACCTTCATAAGCTAATTTAATTCCTTTATGGAAAATAATTATTTATTTAGAATACTATTCAAGTTACTTATATAGTTGCCTAGAAGTATCCTTAATTTGAAGAAATAAAAATAAATCGAATTATTTGTTTACATGCAACTTAGAATAATGCAGGAATGAGTGACCTGTGTTCCCCTATGATAATGCTTTTGGATGATGAAGGTGATGCCTTTTGGTGCTTTGAACGTCTAATGCGCAGATTGGTAAGTAATTAAACTTCATTTAAATATTATTATTCCTCATTTAAACGTATGATCATTTTAATTGTATCCTAAGTGTTCTTTTCTTGAATTTCTACAAAGCGAGGGAATTTCAGATGCACTGATAGCTCAGTTGGTGTGGAGTCACAACTCAGCACTTTGGCTTCAATCACTCAAGTCCTTGATCCAAAACTCCACGAACACTTGGGTATCTAATAACGTATAATAAAAAAAAAATCAAAGAATTAATTATAAAATAATAAGAAAATGATGATCAAGGGCCTGTGTTTGTATATGCAGAACATCTAGGTGGAGGTGACTATCTGTTCGCTTTCCGAATGCTCATGGTTTTGTTTCGCCGAGAATTCTCGTTTTGCGATTCTCTCTACCTTTGGGAGGTAATTATTAAAGAACGAATATTGAATAAATAGTTCATGTATGTTACGTTCTTGAATATAACATGTGATGATGATGAACAGATGATGTGGGCTCTGGAGTATGATCCAGACTTGTTCATGATGTACGAAGAGCCAGACTCAGACTGTGAGAAGCCAGAGGAATTGAAGAGAAAAGCCAAGTCCAAGAGTCAGTGTGGGAAATACGAGAGAGACAAGTTGAAGAATCATTCTGAAGCTCCTCTTCCCATCTCTGTCTTCCTCGTTGCCAGCGTTTTGAAAGATAAGAGCGCTAAACTTCTCACTGAAGCTCGAGGCCTTGACGATGTCGTCAAGGTTTGCTTTCATTTCAATCACTTCCTCATCATCTCATTCTTCTAGTTCAATCTCCAAACTTTAATTTATTGTCACTCATTTCATGTGATATGACTCAATTAAAATTCAATTCTTCAATTTCAATTCAATACAAATCAGTTATTATATATCGGGGATTGAGTTTATTAAATGAATCAAAAATATAGAAATTAAGTCGTATCAATGAAGAATTGAGCTACTACTAAATCAAAACTTGGAATTAAATAATTAGTTTTCACTTTCATTTATTTAATTATATTCTATGACATTTTAATCCTTTTTTGTAATTATTATTAATATTATTATTTTCAGATATTGAATGACATGACTGGCAATCTAGATGCCAAGAAGGCTTGCACTGGAGCAATGAAACTCCATAAGAAGTATTTGAAAAAGGTCGTATATTCTCTGTCACTTTTTTTGGCTTTTTTTTTTAATTTTCCTCTATATTCATTTTGCTCGTATTTTCATTGACTTTTTTCTTTCTTCATACACGTAATCGATGACGTTGCTGCAGGTACCCAAGAAGAGTAGTAGCACGGAACATAGTTCTTGACAATTTTAATTGTTCTTTGATCAAGCCATCAATTGAATTTGTTAGTTGTTTTCATACAATTCGATCGATCGGCCGGCTTGGAGCTCAAAGGAATTAAAAAATGTATGTTGTAATCTGTAAGGTTAGCCTTTTTTTTTTGTTTTATTTTTGTATATTGAACAAAACAAGAGGTTGTATACAATAATTATTTTTTACAACCTTCTATTCTTTGTAATATATGATATACTGATCGATTTTCTTCTCGTTCGGATTATACTGAATAAAATAAAATAGAAAGGAAAAAAAAAACATTTGTTAGAAGAGAAATATGTTTTGGTGTCTCAATATTTATAATAAATACGGATAGTATTGAATTTAGGCTGAAGTGTAAGTACATGAACATTTGTAAGGGCGAATTAACAGTCAATAAATAGTATAATAATAAGTCAACTAATGTTTGCCAAAAAAAGTCAATTAATATAACAAATATGTGTTCTCTATCATTCTTATGCATTTGTGTGCATATACATACTCGCTCCATTCGAAAATATAAGACATTTTTTGAAAAATTAAAAAGATATTTTTAATTTTTTAAGGTGTAATCATTATCTTCTTTTCAAAAATTCTCCTATTTATAATAATTTTATATTTATTATAAGGTACTTAATAGGGGTAAATATGAAAAGATAAGGTTAGTTTGAAAATATGTAACTACTTTATTAAAGGATGAAGTTCGGTTAAAAATACCTTACATTTTTTAATGGAAAGAGTCTATATTATTAGAACCTAAAAGATATATTGTTGCACTATTCATTTATTTGTAAATTTGTAAATAATGTGGTTCTCGACATTCTTATATATTTTATATTGACCATTGATGATAATAACTAAAGTACAGTATAGATTGGATACAGGAAACATGTCACAATCTCTGAAGAATAAAATTAAGGATATAATAGACGGTGATGCAGAAACGAAAAGTTATCAATGAAAGGTCAATTAAGTAGAGCAATATTTGAAAACAAGGAAAGAAAATACAAATATCCGAATGGAGATATTTCATTTGTTTTAAATATCTAAAGTAAAATAATCTTCATATCTTTGTTTTGTATCTTTCCCTCTATAGAAATGGAGTTTAATATTTTAGTTTTATTATTATCAAAAAATATTTTAGTTTTATAAATATAAATATATATATATATATAAGTCTAAACAAGAGTAGTTACTTTAAATCTACAAGCTTGTTGTAGAATGTATAGAGATAATTGATATGCAAATTTAACTAAACCTCTTTATTCTAAGAATGAGGTGAAAATGAATTAAATAAGCCCATAAAAAGGAATAATTGGAGAAGGAAAAGCTAAATATTTCATGCATGCTTCATATTTCTTATTTATTGTTTTTTTTAACAATTCTTACAATATGGTTCTGGTTCATGGCCGGTGCGGCAACCAGCAGTGATGCTTCCCTCTCCCCCCCTCCCAACCCCAATAAGACACTTCTAATATTACCTCACAAACTATATATAAAATCATGAATATGTTTAAAAGCTCATTAGTTCTGTTCAGAAATAATTTTTTTTTAATTTTCCCTCGTTTAAACTGATACAGTGTAACTTAAGCAAAATAAACTAACATTTAAATAAAGACAAAATGGGAAAGACATAATAAATTAAATATCCTATATGTATAAAAAGGGACTAATTTTTTTCTCTTCCGGCTATCATTCTTTAAAAAAAATTAATTAATTGCCTAGCCCGTGCGAAGAACTGCAAAACTAATGCGATCAGCAAGATAGAGCAAACCTAATTATCACGGACGTGTTTGGTTTCGGTAAAGAAAACGTCATTTTCAAATTTCCATTTCTTAATTAAGATGCTCGATGTTATTGTATTCACATTATTATTATTATTATTATTATTATTATTATTATTATTATTATTATTATTATTATTATTATTATTATATAAGTCATTAATAATATTCTATATTTTTAATAAATGAGGCTTATAATTAAATAATATAGTACGTTACGAGCATGCGGTTATTCTCTCAAAATCTTGGCATCGTAAATAAATTTATACAAGCATATATAAAGTATGATAATGTCATCTTCCAACTTCCATGTCAATAACCCTAACATCCTTCCACTTTTAAAGCTTTCAAGGGCTTCATTTTATAATTCTTTTTATGAAACATTATTTTTATCTAATCAGGAAAAGTTTGCTACTAGACAATAGGAAATAAGGGTTAAAGTATTATCTTAGTTTTTTGAACTTTACACAAAGCTTTATTTTAGTTTTCTAATTTTATAAAATGTATTTAAAATCCTTTAATTTTAACATTTTTAGTTTCAATACAAAAAAATGTTACATTAAACTTTTAAATATTAATAAAATATTCTTAAATTTTAATATATTAAGTTTAACTTAAAAAAACAAATGATTGGTGCAAAAATAATCATTTGAAGTTAATAGTGTAAGGGTTAGACTACTAAAAAAAATACTTTATAAAATTAATGGATCATATAAAGTTAGAGGAACAATAGCATACCTTAGCTGAAAATAATTGTATCAAATCAAATAAAATGAAATGCTAAGATTATTATTCGCTCGAGAACATCCGTTGGGCGTATAATATTTTATATATAAAAAATTGAACTATTTAATACAGTAGTGAAGATCAGTAATTAACGAACATAAAGGAAAAGACTAAACCTGCAACCACAAAAAGAAAAAAGAAAAAAAGAAGTGTAGAATATGTAGAAATTGCAAGTGCTCGAAATTTCCACACACTCATGAAGTTTGCTTATTATAAGTGCTGTATTATCACATCCTTTTACAGAACACACAGGCCTTTGCAATCCCACATGGCTCCATCACTCATCATAAGCTTGCACCATCACTTCTCTGCTCCTATATTTATCCATGATACTGACATGAGAGTGATGATGAACACATACATACATACATACATACATACATACATACATATATGGACATGTATTTATATAATAATCCACACAAGGGAAAAAGCTTAACAAGATACGTACCGGCCGGGAAGCAAAAAAACAAATGAACCAGTTAACCCTTAAAGTTTTTCATCACAAGTAATAGCTATTTTCCCCAGAACTCGTCGTCGTCGTCGTCAAGAATGTCACCAACGCTACCAAAATGACTGCAACTATGGAAGAAGAAGCTTGGCGATGCCCTAAGCTCTGAAGAGGCACGTACGGGGGAAGAGCACACTCATCGCCGTTGAAGTACACTTTGGTTGGAAACCCATCTTTTCTGATATCAAAATTCTTAATGTTCTTCTTGTTAAAGGTTATCACCGATTGCTGTTTTCCTGGCACTCTCGGGTCGTACGGATGCGTCCCGTTCGTCTCTCCGACCAAGTAATTCATATCCTTTAACCCGTTGAAAATCACTGTGCTTATGTTGTCCACTTTCGTGCCGTTGAAGGAGAAGACCTTCTCGAAATTAGGGTAAGACCTCTTGAATGAGACCGCCGCGAACCAGTCCTCGAAAGGGGAGTCATCCCAGTTGAAGATCGTCATCCTCGCCGTCCACCCGGCAACGGAGTCTGAGTTGATGTGCCAGTTTATGCTCACCGGGCAGTTATCTCCACAAGGAAGCATTTTGGGTAATCTATGGTGCTTCAGAGCAGCCCAGGCTTTGGCCTTCGCCGTTCTGTTCACGAACGGCACGAGAAGAGCTTCCGGTGGAAGAAGCAACGATCTGGCATCGGGATCGCACTTTCTGGTATCGGGACACCCACATGCACATGTATTGCATGGGATTACAGAGTCGTTGTAGTAGGCAGAAAAGGATACGCAGCACCGGTTCTGCTTCGGCTTAGGCTTCGTCATATTGCAGGCTACCTGCCAGCTGGCAACAGCGAGGGTGACGGACTGAAGTCCACTCGGGTCGGGGAACTCTTGCGGGGAGACCCGGATGGGCTGACCGCATCTGTACTGTGGATTAACGACGCCGTCGATGCGCCACTTCAAGGGAGGCTTGATGGAGGTGGCCATGCCGTTGTCGGGTGGCATCTTCATGACGTTGATCTGGAAGATGGAACGAGCCTGGCTCGGGTCCAGTGAAGGTGGTAAGACGGTGCCGTTGCGGCAGCAAAATGGGAGTTTTCCGAGCTTCTCATCCTCCTTGAGGGTGGCGGGGAGGTCGGAGAGGGTGGGTTTTTTGTCGCATTCGACGCCGGGCTGGTTGAAGTTAAAGTCGGCGTAGAATTTACTGGCGGTGCCGTAGAGGCACTGGGAAATGTCTCTCATGTGGGAGTAAACGCCTTTCATGGAGCTGATGAACTCGCCTCGCTGCCATTCCCAGGAGATGTTCCAGTGGTCGAGGCGGGCGAGTGGGTGCCACGCGTCGATGGTGATCTGAGCGTAATAATTGTTCTTGTTCGCCTGAATCACGTCGTAACTGATGGTTATGTCGCCGTACCGGCGAGGAGGGAACTTGGTCTGCCTCTTATTCAGCACCGTTGCCTTCGGGTCCTTCTTGCAGCACACAAACATGTTCGACCCTATTATCCATAAACAACTGAAATTCAAAGCAAGCACGCGTACGTGCATCTCTCTTCCACGCACACATGTATATATTAATAATGTCCAAATTATACAATTTCGAATATCAAACACACACATCATGCAAAATTACTATTATATTCTAGTAATGTATGGCAAACTGTTTGCATGCATGCCTAGTTCTCACGTTCTCTAATACTCCATTTCTAATGCAAACCTTACAGAAAAAAGTAAACATTATGGAGCTATGCAATCGCATATACAATTGTGTAGTTTTTTTTTTTATTTCTTACATAACTGTAACAGTGAAGAAACCTGGTTTTTTTGGTTTGCGACATCTATTTTCTTTAAAAAAAAATGCTCAATTACATTACGGTTAAGATTCCAAAATATCCATATTTCGTTAATTTATAAGCTTTAGATTGAATACAACATCGGAAAAAGAAGGAAAAACCCAGGGAACAAGGAGCATTAGAAAACTTAAAATATGAATATATATCTAGTTTGAAATGTAATGTTTATGGTAAGATTATAATTATTCTCTAGTCTAGAGATATCATGCATGTATTTTAGAAGAAGAAGTAGAAAGGAAAGAGAAGATACGCTGTCTAGTTGCAGCGGGGCACTTGAAGCCATCGTTAACCAGTTTGATAGTCTTGGGCATAGGGGTGGTTCCTGATTTGACGCCAAACATTGTCCCTTTCATCTTAATATTAACAGACATTTGATCGAAATCGTTGGCCGTGTCAATAGCCGTCAGCAAGTCCGTCATGGAACTTCCAGCCAACGTCGTCCCATTGCTCACGTTCGCCGGGAAGTCTCCGGCGTCGAGCAGCACAGCACCGTCCGCCGACACCAAAATCTCGTTGTGCTGGAACCCTATGAACATATTCCACCCCACCAGTTCCTCGTCCCCGACATTCGTCAACGACGCGTCCGCCTCAAACGCCCAAGCCTGCTTCGATACGTTCTTCACGTGAGGGAACTCCTTCGTTCGTCCTTGGAAGTTGTACGTCAAGAAGATTCCGTTGCAGTTGTCGAGCTCTTTCGGTCTCTTTGTCGTCTTTTCTCCGCCGCCGCCGCCGCCGCCGTTGTTGTAATCGTCTTGTGCTTGTCCATAACACACCTCAAATTTCCAACAACAAGCTAAGAGAAATAACAATAGAAATTGGAAGGACGAGGAGGCCTTCCAGGGAACTTTCATATTTGTGCTGTCCCTCTTATTTTCTTTGTGTTTTTTTTCTTGTAATTTTCCTTTTGTTTTGTTTTCAGGGTTATCTGGGAATGACGAAGGAAGAATGAGAGCAACGACAAAGAGAAGTCCGATGACCGGTAAAGAGCGGTGGTGGCCGCGGTTTGAGACGCGGCTCAGAAGAGGAGATCAGGGAAAAGAAAGGGGGGAATTCTGGTAAAACCCAGAACCATGAAGAGTGAGAAGTTCAACGACTATAAATGGAAGGCACAATGCGAGACATGGTCCTTCTGTATTCTATTCCTCTAGTTTTCTCGTCTGTTTCGGAGGACTTGCAAGAAAAGTGGATGTGTTCTCAACTAATTTTTTTCAAGGGTCATTATTTATTTATTTATTTATTTTTAAGTATATTTCGGATTCTAAAAATTATTGGACATTTACTCATCTTCTACCAGAATATTCTTCTTGCATCTCTCGCTCTGTTGATCTGATCTACTCTGACGTACACTTACTGACATATAGCAGAGTTCACCTCATTTGCATGTAGCAGCTTCAACACTATTAGCTATTACTCTCTTCGTTTTTATATATATAAAAAAAAATTATATCACATAATTTAAAAAAAATTAGTTAATTATAATAATTATATTTAAAAATAAAAAATTGGATTAAAATACCCTCTACATACATTAATTATTTTATATTGATGTAAATTATGAGGAGCGATCTAAAAAATATATAATAAATATTTATTAAAATATGTAATTTTATTCATATAAAAAAAAGTTAAAAAGTGATAGTTTGGTAATTCTCTTGATCTCTTTTTTCCCCCATACCATCAATTCAATGACATGGGATTAAAAATTAAAATGGTAATAATGGAGACCGCACCAACATAATTTCGGAGTAACTTCATCAAATTGTGATCACCCGGCACATATTAGTGAGAAAAAATGTTCTAGAATATATGCCAGCAGCAGGAGAAGTCACTTGGGTTGATAAATCATTTTCGGTAACAATCGGCATTTCGAGTTGATGAAAGAATTAATATACTTTAATTGCAGGGTGCTCTATGGCTTTTTCTTCGATTGGCACTGAGCCTGATTTATTTGCTTGTTTGGCATGATTAGAAATAATTGGGATTTGTAACTATTCACAACATATAGAATACTTTTTTTTTCTCCGGAGACCTTAATTATTTTATATGCGCGCGCGCGCACATAAATGTAATGTACGAGCAAGGGAACTAATTAAATCAAATTACATAGGTTTCTTCATTTTCGGCAAAGAAACGTGTATTACATGTCAGTTTATGGGGTATGCGTGTGTGTATAATCTTTTTTATTTTATGTATATTTTACATGTCAGTTTATGCTTGGTCGTCCAGCGCAGTTGCCATATATTCCCGTGATCTGTCCAGTGAGAGTAATCGCTATCGAGGTTTAGAACCAATTAACGGCTTCCCTCAAGAAATATGGTCATTTCAGTAATTGCCAACTCATAACAGTTCCGCGCTGAAGCAAGAAGAAAAGCAATAACCGTGCATTTATATATCACTTGAGAGAGAAAGTAACCCCAGAGAATTGGCTGTAGTTACTTACTATATCACCCATTTATGCATCCTTCTCTTCTCTGTCCCTCTCTCAGCTATCCTTCATTTCAGGGCTTGAAGAGAATAATGGCTGCAGATCCTAGCCGAGGGCTTCACGAATGAAGCCTCTACATTACTGAACCCGTTGCTCAGAGTTCAAAAGATGTTACCATGACTTGTCTCTACATCACGAACGAAGCCTATACATTACTACAAGACTAGACATTGAATCAGCTTATATGCAAGTTTTATTTGTTTGAAGGGACCGGAGTCTGTTTTGGTCCTATAGTATTGCAGACATGGATGAACCCTCGAGAAGAGGTAGAAATCAATGTACAAGCTACGAAAAGCTATTTTTGCCATAACACCTTGACACTATTGAATTTTACTGATGAACCACTGTGAGAGGGTTGAATAGCCCAAAAAACCTCGGTGAACTTGAGAAATATCAGTGCAATAGACAAGCGTGATTGCTTGTGCGCCTGCCACAAACACGCCCAAACATATTTATACATAAATACACATATATACAAACTACATATGAAACCTAGCAAGATGCATTATAGTGCATCTGACATACTTCAAAGTTCAAACAGAACTACTCCGCAAGAAAGTGCTTGGGAATATTTTCTCTCAAATACAAGAGGAAAGGAAATTGAGATTTTCTGTCGATGGAAACCACGATTTATGCAGTTTCTGGAATCTTCAAGGAAGACTCTTCATATGTTATTTTTCACGCCAACTTGTTCATGTAAATTCAAAGGCTAATAGGAGTGTGGCTATCCATTAACAAGTTCTATTCATCCTTTTTCATCTCAAATACATCAGACTTCCTGTCATGACGAACGTGCAAGATACATTTAGGCTGCTTCTTGTTGTTGCTTGTTCGTTTGTTCACGCAAAAACTATGACGAAATCAGCCACATAAATACACGGAAACATGAGAAACATCGACCCTATTTGAAAGTGTTTTTCATATTAGCTTGGTCCTACATATCATTTATAGATCGTGTTTCAAAAAAAAAAAATCTATTTAGTTTAGAATTAGAATCCAACAGTAAATTTTATCCTAAAAAAAGAAGAATCCAACAGTAAATAACTTCGCCAAGATTACTAAAGTCCAAACCATAAGCAAAAAATTGGCTGCCTCATTTTACTTGAGCATTAAATCGAACACAAGAATGCAATCAAGTTGATATTTTTCAAAAGAACATTACCAACATCGCATTCTTTTGGTGTTGTTATATGTACCTTATTAAGGAATATAATACAGAATGAAGAAAATCTCTGTTGTCATGACTTCCTCTACCATGAAGATGATGTTAGTTGGCAATAATCTCCTCCACGGGAGTAATTTCTTCAACCTGCTGGGACTTAGGCTCCAGATCAATGAACTGGTTGGACTTTCTAGCTAGGTGAGAAATGCTAACCCTCCCCTGCCGCTTAATATAATCAGCAACAGCTTGCATTTCTTCCAGAGAGATGTAAATATATTTTCCTCTGTCATCCATGACACCAGAAAGCCTCCCTGATACATATAAAAAGAACACGATAATATATATCTCGAAAGGGATCAAGTTATATGTAACGCAAAACCTAAAAGAATCTCAAAAAGTGCGTGCATATATATTGGGGGGGGGGGGGGAGTACCATGGCAATCATAACATTGATCTCTGTTACTGATACATTGCAGCAACAAATAAATATAAATATATATATATATATATATAAAATCAAACAAGTGATTATGAATGTATCAATTTCTATCAACATTATGTCAAGTCATTCAATTAGGGATGTCCTCATATAAGTGCAGCCAATGTGAGGTTCGCTTGCAGCTTTTCATCATGGGATATGACATAATCTTCAATCCAATTTCGTAAGAAAAAGAAGGGCAATGCAATTAATATATATTCTGAAAGAAAGAAACAGTAGCACTCACCCATACGTTCCAAGGAGGTGATGCGATTAATACATTCCTGTACCAGTTTGGGGTTATATCAGAAAAGAAAGGCCAGGGAATATATCAACAAAAAAAATATTAGGACAGTAGAAACTAAAAGTGATTCAAATAAAGGGCTTTAATAACTTCTTTTTCACTATATTAAGACAATTTCATGATGAGAAGAGAGAATAATACCAAAAAGGTACAACAACAGAGCATAAAGGTTCCTGTGCAATGAAAAGCTAATTACAAAAGAAAAACTATCCCTTAATCCACAAGGGGAACCAACCCACTTCTTTTCCCCACCCCACAACAAAGCTTTTTGCAACTCACGTCCAAAGGTTACAAGAGGAGTTTATCGTATTACTACTAGGTCATAAGTTTCTTACCAAAATAACATTTTTCCCCACTAATTAAGACCCCCATCGAAATAATGTGAGTTTTTAAGGTCATTAAATGAAATTTCTGCAAAGTTTTTATCCTTATCCTCAAAAGTAATCCTCTCCCAAAGAAAATATGGTAGAAGGGATTGCTTAATGAATACTTGATCGTTCCCACTCAAACCAAAGACATCACAAACCAGCAAAGACTGCATAATGCCAGAGAAATTTATACTTATTTGGCACCCAAAAACCGTGAACAAGATAGTTGACTTTAATTGCGTGTAATGATATAATGCAGTAGAATCCACAACTAATTACTCCATCTCATCCAGAATTCACTCTTATTTAGTATATTCCATCCATAAACTTTTGTAACACATAAAAAATGAGAAAAACAAGTGGAAAGGCATAAAAAGAGGAAATGTACCTGTGTCCTTAATTTAAATTCGGCAGCAAGATCTTCTAAGGGAACACATTTGTGCTTCTGAGTGATTAAACAATTATTACAAATAAATTAAGATCGCTATAAAAACTCTTTAAATGTGGCAATGAAAACCTAAGCTAATTGTTATTAGTTTTTGGTGCCCTGCTGAAAATATGAATTTTACATGTTTAGTAAGAAGAAAAATAAGGAAACTAAGAATTTGATAAAGACAGTACAGAAGAATAGAGAATCACCATTATATATTCAACAAAATCTGCTAGCAAGTCTTGACTACCATCCTGCACTTCTTCCATGGTACCTTCATCATCAACTGAAAATTCACCTTTCCACTTCTCAAACTCTAAAGTGGCAGCTTCCTCCTCCCTGGCTTTCTGAGCTTTGGCTTCCTCTTCCTAAATGGAACATGGTCAAACTTTTGCTATCAACAAACTTAAAAAGAAAATCCTGGACGCAAATCTACAGTAATATAGACCCACCAGCCTACGCTCCTCTGCCTCACGCTCTTCATCCTTCTTCCTCCGCATCTCTGCATAATGGTCTTGTTTTGTCTGCCTTGACTCCCGTGAAGCTTCTTCAGCCTTCCAAAATAATGAACCACAATGCAAGGAATGACTTAATTTAACAAAAAAGCCAAGAAATTAAAACCTACTTTTTGAAGGTCAATGCCAGGAATTCAAGGAATTCATGAACAATGTTCTTAAAGATGCCGATAAAACCTTGATAACATATAATCTTTCAATTATGGAAACCCCAAATACCAACCTTTTATTCTTTCAGTAAATAAGATATACAAATCTATTTTTCCCTTCAGATTTCAAGGCATGGTGCAACAACTAGAAGTACGAATATATATTAACCTAGTCTCTCTCTTTTTTGTTTTAAAAAAAAAAAAAAAGAGCACTCGGATGAGGGGGAAATCAGTGTCCCATGTACGTACTAAAAGGTTCGAACAATACCTGTCGGCGAGCTTCCCTCTCTTGCCGTTTCTTTTCCTTTTTCTTTGACGCTTTAGCCCCATAATACTCAGCACCAGTAGCTTCATCATCGCTTTCCTCCACAGTTTCTGCGCCAAAGGAATTAAAAAAAAAAAAAACTCAATTTCCCTTCCTAGTTCCGTATTTTAACTGCAGATGCTTTTGCCGTATACATGAGATTTTGATTAAATAAAACATCACAAAAAATAATAATAATAAGAAAGCAGAAAAACCATGCAGTATGTTATGTTTTACAATTCGATCTGATAAAATATTATAAAAATTATATAACCAACCTTCAGTAGTTGCCGCTGCAGCTGATGAAGAGCTAGCACCAGAAGCGGCCGGTCTACGACGCATTCGACGCGTGCCGGTGGCGCGTACCACAGCTTCCCTTCGAGGTTCCTGAAGGTTTTCGAGAGAGGGGGGAAAATTAACTTGATGAACGCAAAATCTAAATGGAAAAACGAAGAAAATTTCGTGAGTGCAATTGGAAACCTGATGAGCCTCATCCTGATGAGAAGGTGATCGAGAATCATGACGGCGTTTCCAAAGGTATAGTGGAATCAATGCTACCACGAGAAGCATTGAAAGAATTGCAAGCAGTATTTCTTCCATTTCTTCAAATCTTTCTCCCAAAACAAGAATATTTTTCGAAATTCTCTGTTCGGTTTGATTTGGAATCAATCGAGTTACAAATTGGTTTCTGGAAATCGTGGAGCTTGACGATACTTGATCCAGACATAAATCAGGGTAAGGCGAACTGAGAAACTGACGAGTTCCGACACGGCGATCCCGTCCAGCTTGGTGACGACGTCGTTAGGTGCTCTTGTTATTACTCTCCTCGAGCGCCAAACCAATCCCTGATTTTTTTTTTTAAGAAAAAAATTACAGATTGTATAAAATTTATAATAAAAAAATTAGTTATTCTGACACATATTGCATATGCGAAGTTCTTCCGAGCTGTCTCGTTTTTAATTTCTAGGGACACTAGCTGGTTCAATTATTGCTCTTTCAGAGGTTCTTCTCTTTCTTGTACTCTGGACTTCTATTAAATAAATTGATACTTTTAAGATTTGTGTGTGTGTGTGTTAGCAACACAAGTAGTTGCCACCATGGTCCGCTAGTTGCCAAACTAACTCTCTAGAGTTATTGCATTCTCGCAACTACATATCTTCATCGTGTCATCTTTTTCTTTTAATTGCCATTTCCATTAAGTTGTTTATCCTATAATATCCAATAATAAGATCTCTCGTTTTTTATTCCATAATCAATGGTATTTTATTCTTGGTAGAAAATCTTAGGTTGTGTTTGAATTTCAACTGAAAAAAAATATCATAAGAGAAACTGATCAACAATTCGTTATGATGTTTAAATAATATTTTTTTAAATTAATTTTAATAATTGAAGATAATTTGATAATTTTTCAAAATTAATTATAAAAATCAGAAAATGAAAAATGCTCAAGTGCTACGAATTAATTCTCAAATAAAAAGGCTTCTTCAAAATTAACCAAATAAAATTTTCCAAAATTAAGAACGTTTGAATAAAATTTTACAAAACTACAATTTTTCTAAAATTGATTCCAAATAAATATCCGAACAGGCTTTTAAAATTCTTCCCTTCGTTGTCGGAACCCTTCATAACTTCAAATTTAGAAAGGACCAAACACCGCCCTCCTATCCTTATATCAAGCATCCTAACTCTCAATCTTTCAAGATCGAGTACCAAATAATCTTTACTTTCTGATGATTCGGTCTCTATCAAAAGAAGATTCCGGAACCACTGCAACTTTACCAGTAGGTTCGTGTAGAATAGGATCGGATTTATAGTTTAAAAAAGAAATTAAGTTATTATATAGAGCTGCACTGGAATCATTGAGTACCGAATGGCATACCAAGAAAGAACGTCATCCGAAATACGAAATTGGAATATCTTGCACGACCGCTTTAAAGTTCTTTGACACACATTATTGAGGACAATGACATATAATGTCAAAGCTTCCATAATCCCACATAAGAGTCACTAGAAAACTAAGACTACAACCATCAAACATGTAAATAGCAAAGCATAAGAGCCTGGCTCAACTGAGGCAGGTAAGAGTTGATTATCAAGTTCCCAACAGATCAGAAACCATGAATCTTGATATGCTCCTTCTTCACGATACCAGCCTGCTCAGTACACAACAAAAACCACCAATGAGATCATAAACACATAAAAACAAGTTCTCCCATATTTTTAATCACAATGTTCGCAAACCAGTTATAAGGCAGGGTGCATAAAAATTAGGAGCAATAAATGACCTCGCTCCGTGCTCTCAAAAATATCTCAATACAATGAGTCAATTACTGCCCCAAGCCCTCTGGTCAAAAAATAACACCCCTAGCCCCTCACTTACAATACGCTTAAACTAAGCGAACCAATCCTCCACCGTGCACCCAGAATTTAAACTATTTAAACCAATCCTCATATCACCACATCCTCATTTTCAGAATTTAAACTGCTTGATTTCCAACTTGATTAAAAGAAACAGACTAAATAAGATTGCGATATTACCTACCAATGAAGGATTTAATTTTCCCCATAAACAAAAGGTAGACACATGACCCAACATAATGGACTAATCACTATACGAAATTTTCTTAGCCAAAAAACAGCAACCCCAAGCCATTAGAATACATCATAAAAAGCAGACCTTAACTCAGAACAGCATAAATCATTGCTGAGATGATCATTACCTGAACAAGGAAGGTAGATACATTCTTCCTCTGATCACCTTGAAGTTGAATAACCTAGAGACAACACTATTATGTCAATAGAAGAAACAAAAGAGCATTGCATGATAATCGCAGTTAACACCAACCTGTCCGAGCTCTGGGTCTTGGACTACAGTGCCATTGCAGCAGAACTCTTTCTTGAGGTCTTTAAGTATCTTGTTGTAGCTGAATTCTTTCTTCAATCCCTGGACAGTTGTAAGGCTTTTTCTACCATTCCGCTGCTGTATGCGAATATGAACATACTCTTTTGCTCCAGCACCTGAGTCGTCAGCATTTGCCTCAGCAAACGGATCTACAAATGGTTGTCGTACGCACATTCAACACAGCATAAAATATTAAAAATTATAATTCAATAAACCCAACTAGTGTAACCAGAGCAAATGCCCTACCCTGAAAGAAAATGAGCTAGTACAATTCAAAGCAAATGACCAAAAAAATAAACAGTAAAGTGCCAGAAGCAATGTCAAACACTAAAATCAGAATCTCAACATTTCCAATCAGGCAACCCAACCAACTACAAAATATGAAGAAATTACAACATACCAAAGGCAGTAGGAATCTGAGCGTCTAATTCAGACATGAAATTTAGCTCTCCTGGATTGAAGGTCCTACCAACCAGATTGCTCAGACCTGAATGGAGAGAATTATGTTAGTTGATATAAGGTAACAACTAACAAGGATACAAAACCACAAAGATATAAGTAAACAACACAAAGCCCATCCACACAAGATTTTAGAAAAATGATAAATCAACTGCTCCTATCAACCAGACCTTCCCAAAAATTTTTAAGATCAAATTTGTTTAAATTTATAAGATTTTACAGGAGCATCAAAACAGAGGAAAAAAGAAGACAAATCATTCTCCCTTCAGCCAAGATTATATAACATGCACATTTAGTTATTAGATACGATGGCAAGATAGCAATTACATCCTTGTAGACACCTTCAGATCTAAATTAAGGCACCTATATTGAGGAAAAGAAATATCTTTCAAGTGGATCGGACACACGATTCCTGCCGGAAACATCAGATCAAAACTAACAGAAACCCCAAATACCGTGAGGTTCCAAGAATAATCAAACCGGAGACTCAAACATCAACGAAAGAAACTCCAAAAAGATTCAGATAAAATATCAAAGATTAGCGCCGAAGGACCCAAACCAAGTCTAAAGATTGATGAGCACAGAATTAGATCTAAATAATAAAAACAAAATAATAAAGAACAAATTACCTGATCCTAAATTAGGGTTCCGATGCGTTAGAAACTGGGCGATGATGATCTGAAACCCTAAATTGGATAAGGCTGAACCTTCCCTCTCTTTCTCTCTCTGTAGCGGGGGTTCGGTTTTAGCAAGAGAGAGGAGAATTAAAAGCCCTTTTCGGAGACAAAATAGAGAAACGTAAGGTGTACTTTGGGTCAGGCAGGAAGCACTTGCACAAATATCACGAGGGAATGCAAACTTATAGTCTCGGAAGCAGCGGAGAGACCACACGCGCTCGTAAACCGATGCCACGTATGCATAACTATACTTGCTACGAGCAAATCGGGCGAGTGGCAGCTTCCTTAGCAGCTCTGAGATTGTAGATTGCATTTGGGGGCAAGGGTAAACATGTCAGGGGGCATATAAAGTCATGTTCCATTATGCCCACAATCGGGCACCGCATATAATCATACCGTTAATATCATCGTTATCATTATCACCATCAAAATCATAGCAAAGTGAAAATATATAAATTGGTAATGGCAATTCAGGCTCGACCGGACGGATTACAATTACAATGTTATATTTTTGGTAACATATAATTACAAATATAGTAATTATTAAAAGCCCAATTTGTAGCCCAAAAAAACTAAAAGCCCAAAGTCAATCATGCGTTTAGTTTTGGGTTTGGGTCCCTGATCCACGAAATTAGACTTCATTGAATCACAGACATCGTCCCCAGTCTGCGGTACGAAAACGGAAAGGCGCTTGTTCATCGATTTGGAGCCGTAACTACCAGGTTCCTCCGAGCAAGCGCAGTTGGGTCCGGCAATGGCTCCCGTTGGTCCGAGATCCGGTGAAGCAATTTTCGCAAGTGTAGAGCGTGTGGTAAGCTGCAATCTTCTCCTCTCTTTCACTCTCTATTTCCCGAACAAAATCCTGGAAGATGATGTCAGTGAAATGCACAGTTTCGTCTATTTGATTATAGCTTTATCGATCCTATAGGCCACAGTGTGATTTTATCCTTTTCTAGTTTCCTAATAACTTTAGATCGATAATCTCGTGATGATGGATGCTTTAAATTTTCAATTTTATCTGCACTAACGTGCGGGGCGGTCGTGCAGAATGCAGAGCTATTTACTTTAACGTACGGGGCGATCGTGCGTCAGTTGCTTACAGATCTGGAAGAAGTTGAGGAGGTTAACAAACAGCTTGACCAAATGTACAATTCAGAACCTCCTTTGAAATTCTAACTCTGATTCATTGTTATCAAATATATTTCTTTTCTTTTTGTTTTTTAATCTCTATATACATTCTTGGTGTGACATCTTCCCGGTTTGATATAACTAGCAAGTTCTTCATATGCTTTTACCATTTGCTTTCGTTTTGTTAATTTGGATCATATCTTCCCGGAGGTTACGGTCTTGCTGATAATTATTTATTATTCATTTGTCCACTTAGTTTTTAGATTTGATGATGACCAGACATACATCTATTCATCTGAATTTGACTGTTTGGTTGGTTTTCAGGGGTTATAATATTGGAATCCGTTTGATTGATGAGTTTTTAGCTAAATCTAATGTTTCAAGATGTGTTGACTTCAAAGAAACTGCTGAAGTAATAGCGAAGGTATTCTATTGTCGTTTAAATTCTTTAACATGCAATGCAATAAATATAGAGGACATATCTAACGAGGGTGGTTTTAGGTGAGAAATGAAGGGGCTACTAAGTTACTAACCACTCTCAGATATGTGATTTTTGTTCTGACATTCTTAGTGTTTTGTTCTTATAAGGTCCCCGACACATTTTTTGACTTTAGCATATAATATATTTGACGATACTTTTCTTCTTAATGTTGTAATGGTTATCTTTGTCTTGTCTCTTTGGCTGGCAAGTCTCACTGTTTGAAGTTTCAAACATAACTTGAGTGGTTTTCAGTATGTAATTAATTAATATCGATATAACATGATAAGCAACTTAATGTTTAAGCTTAAAAACATGAAGCCAGATTGCTACATTTGCCACTTGAAATAGATTGATGGTTGAACTGTTAATGCACTCACGATGCATTGTGCAGTTCATAAGTATATGGTTATACTTATTTTGTAACAATCACTGTACCTTAGCCCTTGATTTTTATCATCATCTTGGGGCAGACACTCAATTTCTATCAGTGAACTTACTGATATGGGGGCATGGATAAGGCCTCGGCTTAGGTGAGCATACACATAAATTTTATTTGGGAAAAACAGAAACCATGTTTATAGGCACACACATGAAGTAATATCTCTTGGCTTGCTAGACGTATGTTTAATGATCTGTAGAGCCTTTGTGAATCATTGGGAAGTACTTGAAGAAACCACATCTTTTTAGAGCTTTAAGGTGATAGCAGTGTCAGCTACAAACTCTTCTTAAGGATTGTGACAGATATAATTATTGAATTTTTGTATAGAGAAAAAATCTAGTTGAGGATGGTTTAGTTACCCAAGTCCTTTTTGTGTTTAACTTATTCTAAGGTAGCATTTGTATGATACCATGATATAATCAAGTATGCAACTAAAGTTCTCGTAAACACTAGCTAAGAAGAACTAATTCCAATGTCTTGGATGTAACTGACCCTTAAAACATGACTGTGTTTCTTTAGTTTCACTTGTTAAGATATATATAACGTATGGATTTTAAAAATTATGACCTAAGCTCTTGAACGTCTTTTGTTGTCATTTGTCATTGTTACAGAAAATAGGTAGCATCTTGGTTGCACACATTATGTACATGAATCTGGGAGCTTACATGTTTTAGTTTGCCAATTATCAACAGAAACAAACAATGTAATATTAACAACTAAAGAAGACTGTTAAAATTAAATTGGCAAGTTCAGTTAACTTGTTCTTTTGATTGTGACTTCTCCTTACAATGCTAGCCAAGCCTTTCTTTCATTCTTTCCATTATTGTCATCATATATAATACCTCTTTTTGATGAAGTCCTCAAAAATGTTATTCTTATTAACGAATAATTTGATATATTTTTATCATGTGGACAAAGTATGTATTGGTGCAATGCAACCCGTACAGCTAACTCCACCTAGTAGAATAAGGCTTACTGTTGTGGATATAAGTATGTATTATTTTTTTTATAAAATTCACAATCCATAAATTTCTAAATCAAGAATGCATGCTATGATCATATCATATTCATTTGGTTTTTAATATTCTTTCTAAATAGCACTAAAAGTTACATTACTCAAGACAAAACACTCCTTTGTTGGTCTTTTTTTTTTTTTTATCAACTTGATCAAACCTGTTCTTTTATTAAAGTGAACATATTGAAATTGAAATCAAAGTCCAATCCCTTTGAATTTAATTGTATCTATTTGGCGTTTGTTACATGACACAGTCAGTATGGGCTATTGATGTCTGATTTAAAGATGATACAGTATATTGACTGGTATAGATTTTGATCAGCATGGTAGCCTTTATGAGATGGACTACACTTTGCCTTTTGGTTTGGCCAGGTAGGTTGTGTACGTCCCAGGCATCACTTAACTAAAATAAAAATGTGGATCCAAGGATAGTTTAAAAAAAAAAAAAAGCGAATCTTGATTCTTTTTTCCTTAATGCAGGTTGGTTTTAAAATGTTCCTTGGTGTTTCTGCTTCTGTGACCAATTGGGATGCTGATGGTACATGTTGCAACATTGTTTTGGAAGATAATCCTTTGGTGGACTTTGTTGAGCTTCCTGATACCTGTCAAGGTCTCTTCTATTGCAACATCTTAAGTGGAGTTATCAGAGGCGCCTTGGAGATGGTAATCTTCTGTTACCATGTTCCCATTTTGATATATAACTCCAACGTTGTGGAACTTGCGTTTAGTTCAGTTGTCTGTTTTATAGCATTAGACTTAGAAGACTGGGAGAGTATAGGACTGAGTTATTGCCCCTTTAATTGATAATCACCTGAAGCGTTTGACGAGATGTGTTACTGTATGTAACTTGCTCACATGGTTCAGGCGTGGTTTATGGAAGGAACAACCTTTTATATCAAAATTTAGCTTCTTCAGTTGGCCTTTATCTTTTTGTTTTATTTTATTTTATTTTATATTTCATTTAGTGATTTGTTGTTATTGTAAATGCCACACTTCTACTCAAACTCAAAAAAGATAGCCGGTCAATATTTTGCGTGAAGTTTTTCACTGTTTCAGGTAAGTTTAGCTTGCTAAAGTCTTATTAATGACACTCATCATTTGAAATGAACTTCTGAGTTAATCAGAAAGCATGGTAACATTATTCCTTGTCCTTGAGGAAAAGGAGGCCTGGATTTAATCTGCTGTTTATTGTGAGACCTAGCTGTTATTAATGCACATGTACTTGTTGCTCAATTCATGGTTCTTTTTCCTGTATATCTATGTTCAGGTGTCCATGAAGACTGAGATTACATGGGTCCGTGATATGCTTCGAGGTGATGATGTCTTTGAGTTGCAAGTAAAACTCCTCAAGCAAGTCCCTGAAGAGTACCCATACAAGGATGATGAGTAAACTTCTATCAATCCTATAATGTAATGTGTATGCTCAAGATTTTTATTATTTCATCTACTCTGAAGCATAGAGGATGAGTTGTCTATCTAGACCTAGAGTGCTATGTGTATTTGATGAATTGTTAGAATAGAAACTGTTGACTAAATTATCATACATGATTTTGATTTTTGACATTACAGGAGACTGATTTATTTTGGGAAGTCTTCCGATGTTGTCTTAAATTTCTCCTGTATTCCTGTTCTTGTGGGCACAAAAAAGTATTGTTAATAAATGTAACAACAAACTCGTTATAGAGATAAGGGTCGATCATGGAAGAGAAAATGAGGAGAAATTTCAGGTTTATTTGGTTCTATTTTCTATTTTTATGTTCTTAAAACAATTCTGTAGAATAGTTTTTCATAACAAGTTTTGGAAACAAAAAATTAAAAAAAAATCTGTTTAAATCATTATTTTGAAAAACACATCTAAATTGGTGAAATAAAAGATGAAAGGATAATCTATTTTATTAACATAGCTGTTATTAATGAAAGTATGATATTTTTTTGTCTTTTCTCTAGTTTTGCAGAACAAAAGTAATAAAACATCTTAAAGATGTTCTGGTTTCTCATTTTTCAAAACAATTTCTAACTTTTTTTTGTTCTTCAGAACAAATAATAGAAAACACATTTTTAAACAGATATTTTCAATTTGTTTTGTTTTTCAGAACAAAAAATTGTTCTGAAAAGAGGTGATCAAACTTTTCACTGACATCAGAAAAGTAACTCCCCTGCCTTTTCTCCACACATAGCAGTAGGAAATGGAATTGGATATGGAATCCATTAACAAATGTGTAGCTTGAAATCAAGAAGGAGGAAATGGAATTGGATGTGGAATCC